CATGTCCACGTCCATGATTGACTGTCAGATGGTAATCAGAGCGGGGAAGGCACCCAAACACCCACTTCTGGGGTCTGTTCATGCTCCCTTTCAAGACTCATCTCGTAATTTTTATTTTATTTTTTACAAATAATCACACACACAGAACCCTCGCAAAATGAGGAGTTCGGTAAGAACATCTTAGAGAGCAAGGCTATGATGGGAGAAAGCAGTAGACACAGCAGTAATTCAAGAGCTCAGGGTCACCTCAGTCCACAGCGAGGCTTCCCCGTCTGCGGGATCTGGCTCCGCACTGAGGGTCACAGCTTTCCTCTCAGCTCCCGGCTCATTCGCTCTGTGTGGCCACCTTGATGCTATTGAGACAGTTTTCTTTTAAGGCACAGACAGTGAGCGGTTCTCGTTTACACAGCCTCTTATTTGACAAGCCTGCCCCCCCCCCCCCCCACGATCTGAGGCTGCGCTAACCGGTTACAATTGCACCAGGCTCCGCTCTGCTGTATCAACTGTGATGTAAACGCCAGCAACCCCACGCACCTCGCAAGAAAAAAATGCACAGGAAGAACTGAGGGTCATACAGCTCAGAACATTCAAAAGCAAAACCGTTTCTGCCCAACAGCTAAGGAAAGAGAGCTTTGAGTTTCAGCTGGCAAGTACAATTATTTTCCGTTTTACACATTTAGCTGCACGCTGCTGTGTCCTTGCCGGTCTCAGGACGAAAGCTGGAAAGCTGAGAGCCCTACTGTACGCTCTTCGTTCCCAGCAACGTTCCTGTGAGAAAACCTTCCTAATGAGCTTGCAAACGAGCACCCAACAGGGAAATGTCACAAACAAGAGCAGCTAATGCCCCAGAAAATCAAATAACTGAACACTTGGCTGATTGTGGTGCTTTCATATTTATAATAAAAGGGGGAGGGGCAGCTCTAATTCTCTACTTCTGACGGGGTCAACACCTTGTGAACAAAACAACTCATTTATTTATGTTCAGAAATCTCCAGATGATAAATTACTCTGATGTTAATCACTTCAATGCATACTGCACAATTAATATCTACACTCACCAAAAATCTAAGGATTATTAAAAGTGTGACAGCATCCACTTCTGGCTGATTTTTCACATAATTGGGCAAAACAATTTCTCCCGATACCTCCAATACAGGGTCCTAACGAAAAAATGCTGCAAAATTCTGTGTTCAGTTAATTAGGACTTAAATCCACAAGACAAAAGCAATTCCAAGTTGTAGCTCAAGCCTTGTCTTCTACGCAGTATGGTAGCAGTGTGCTCATTTTATCTCACTCCTCCTTTTCCTGGTGCATTTAAAATAAGATATTTAATGGCATACCATGTAGACTCTCATTATTTCATTTCCTTTTTAAAAATAGTATTCTTAAGAGGACATAATTTATATAGAATTTAATCCCTATGTGTCATTTAACCCTGTTCATATCCTCTTAGCTGAGAGAGAGGTTTCCATAAGCCGTCATGTGACAAAATGGCCGGCTGGGCCAAGTGAGTGTACTTAATGCTAATCCTATCAGGTTAGCTTTGCCCCCAACGTAGCCGTATTCACCCGGAGTAGAGCAATTCTTCCTCTGATGTTTGCGGATGAACTCAGTATTTCTGGTGATAAGTTACTATTTATCACGAATAATATAAGAAATCTTTTTAGGTGGCAAAGGAAAAAACACTAAAACATAATAGTTGTATGTCTTTTTAAGTTGTATATTTATTTAACTAATATTTATTAGATTTAGATATATATATGGCAAATAAAACTTTATAGATCTTTTTATATGGGTCTTGAGTAGGCTAAAGCAATAAAGTGACTTAAAGATAAATTCTAAACGGGACAGGAACACAGATAACCTGTTGATATGGTAAAACTTGTGAAAGTAGCCCTCAAATAACTGAAGTTGGGAAAACTGTAGGGTCAACAGACTTCTTAAATTGTGAGCAAAATGTAGGGAATATGTAATTTTGTTCATCTTTTCCGGGTCTGTAGCTATCAAAGGGTTTTTAAAGAGGTCAGTGATCCCAAAAAAGGTTAAAAACTGCTGACTCTAAGGGTTTGGAGCCAATAAATAAAGTTACTTCTCACAGGGTATCCAAAATGATTCACCATCCATGCAGACTGGCTACTGAACCTCAGGCATTAAAGTGCCTCCTTCCCTCCTGGCCATCCAGACGGCATAGCTTGTCTGCGGAGAGAGGACTCCTCTGGGAGAATGGAGCTGAGTCACCAACACCACGGCCAATGACCGAGAACTTGGTGCCCAGTGGCCAGCGCCTTGGGCACCTGAGGCCTGAGGCTTTTTGTTGTGCACAGCTGCTGGGTTCCAGAGCGCAGCCGTAGGAGTGATGTAGAGAATCCCCTTGTGCCTGAAGGAGCTGCTGGGGCATTCCTGGCTGACTCCGCAAAGTCCTCAGTCGTGCTCTGGGGATGGAGGGGAGTGGCCTGCGGGTGACCTTCCTGAGCAGAGAGTCGCATTTAGGGTGCCACACCAGACTCTCCATTCCACGCAGATTAAGGTAATGCTTTGCGATTCTTAACCTTCTTTTATGCAGGACGACTTTTTTCTTTACATACATTCCAAAATATGGAGTATCAGGGATACAATGTTTGTGTGGCTGACGGGGGAGAAGGGAGCAGGGCCTCCCATGAGGAGATGCGCCGTAGAGTGACATGACCAGCAGCTGCATCTCCATTTTTGGAGGCACTGCGGTCCTGGCCTGCAGCTAGGGGCTGGCAGCACTTTGTAGCCTGAAGTAAAATGCATTCAGAGGTGGTGCTTTACTTCTTTTCTTAAGGAACAAAGGCCACTTGAATCTACACAGTATGGAAGACACGGCTTATAAATATCATTAGCACGTCTCCCGGTCGGAGTGCAGTGCTCGGAATCCTGTGCACTGGGTGTGAGTGTCATGTTGTAGGTGGTGGGTCATGTGCTGTTTAGAAGATATTCTGGGGAAGCTACTGAAGGAGTTTGGGGTGGGAACTGGGCGAGTACCACTCAGGTCTCACAAAGGAGCTAATGTATTATTGAAGCTAATGGGCCCCTACAAGGGAAGTTAATGGATATTAAGTTTGCTTAAGTGAATTACATATTAACAAAGTCAAAAGAAATCTACTAACTGCCAATTTAGATAACATCTGATCATTTATGTTTTCCCATTATAGGGACATCACACCACAATAGTTTTAGTGATATGAAAATTATAAGCAGCTGCCATAATGAAGCTACATAATGAAGTAGAGGAAATGAATTGACAAGGAAAATGTGCATTATGTAATGTTAAACTAAGCCAAGCTCACAGAGTCAGTAAGCAAAGCCTGGAATGGGACGGTGGTCTTTCGGAGGAAACTCTTTATACCCTGCCTAATCCTTTGTTTTGCTCCATTTAAACACATGATGAAAACTGCAGGAGGCTGAATGGTGGTCCCCAAACTTCCCAACCCCTGGGACCTGGGACTGGCCTCATTTGGAAAAGGAGTCTTTACAGATGTAACTACATTAAAAGGATCTAGAAATAAGAACATTCTGGATTTATCTGGGTGGGCCCTAAGTCCAACGACTAGTGCCCTTCTAAGAGACAAACAGGAAAGGAGAAGGCCCCGTCCAGATGGAGACAGAGAAGGGAGTGATGTGACCACCACCCAAGGAAGCCTGGAGCCATGAGCAGCCCGAACAGGCAGGAAGCTCCTCCCGGAGCTTTTAGAGGGCGCCCGGCCCGGCCGACACCCAGCTTACAGACTGCTGTCTCCCAGGACCGTGAGACAATGCATTTCTGCTATTTCAAGTCACAGGTTTGTGGACACGTTACAGCAGCCCGGGGAAGTAACAGAAGAATTCACGGAGGGCAGTGCGTTTCCTTACCGGACCCCAGGCACTGCCACCCCACCAAATGCTTGCAGCCTTTTCACTCTGCACACTCAAGGCTCCCAGAACCACCAAAGGCCAAGTTCCAGGAGCCTTTTGATGGAAAATGAGAGGTGGTTACTCAGATGCAACCTTGGTGCGAGGATGGTTTTGTGAAGACGTATTTTTTTCACAAGTAGGAGAGCCCCTAAGAGAAGATGAAGAGAACACCTTTTGTCCACAGGGCACAGTGAGGAGCTAACCTCGCTCCCCACGATATGGCTTTTATTGGTGAAGCCAGCAGGACTGAGCACGGAGCCCAGAGGGTTCCACTTTTAAACTCACTGGTATCACGTAAGCTAAAAATGGAAGAGAACGTGCAATTTTAAGCAAACTGCTGAATGCAAATAAAATCTCTTCTATGAAAACTTTAGTATTATGATGGGGTTAAAAAAGGGGGAGAGGAGATTGCCCTAGATTTTGAAGTTGACATAGAAATGATTATAGTCAATATTCAAAAAATGTAATTAACTCATATGCTAGAGCAGATTGGAATCATTTTAAAGTTTCATATTTAGGTTCAATCTAGTATTTTCGAAATCCTTATTGGCACTCAGTAATATGGCTGTGTTTCAGTAAAATAATCCTTTGTTTATTTTTCTACCAAGGCAACTAGATAAAAATTCTATCTATACTACTAGAACATATGCATTCAATAAATGGCTTCTGACATGTTTTAAGCAATTGCTGCTCTGGGCCCTCAGAACAGAACACATGGGCACTGCTACAGCTTGAATGTTTGTGTGCCCTCAAATCCATACGCTGAAGACCCAATGTCCTACAGAACAGGACCAGGAGGTGGAGCCTCCGGGAGGTGCGTAGGTCATGAAGGCAGAGCCACATTAGTGGGATTAAAAGAGGTTCCACAGAGCTCTTCAGCCCCTTCTCCGGGTGAGGTCGCAGTGGGAAGGTGCCTGCGTGCACCGGGAAGCGGCTCTCACCAGAACATGACCGTGCTGAGCCTTGATCTCGGACCTCCCAGCCTCCAGAACCGTGAGAGAGACAGTGCTGCTGTTTCTAAGCTACCAGCTGCTCTGTCTGTGGTGACTGTGACAGCAGCCAGCACGGCCGCGACAGGTACTCACACTGTACTTCTAGGTACCGCTGGGTCTGCAGGTTCCCGGTGACAGCAGGGTGCTCCACCTGGCAGATCACTGGGACCCCGTCGTCCTCCCTGCGCACCTTCAGCATCAGCTGACTCGTCACGGTGTACATGTCCGACCACTCTTCCACCTCCGATTTGCCTGGGGAGAAACCATACCAGGAAGCCAGAAGCTGAGAGCATGTCTATCGCTGTGTTCAGATCCTCGGCTCCCTGGCCCCAGCCCAGTGTTATTTTACCAAAGAGGATGGAAGTCACTTGGGATAAGGACCATCTGTGGGTAGATGGCTGAGAAAATGGGAATTTCCTACATTTCAACCTGGCAGGGTGGTCTTTCAGATATTTTCAACTAGACGTAACATATACCATTTTCATTTAAATACATTACACATGTTTCTTCTGTCCTAAAACTTCCCCCAAAGGCAGCTGAAGGTTGAACCTTTTTGACATCTGACTGCTCAAGGCATTCAGGAGAGGAGAAGAGAAGAGCATGCCATCCTACCACCATCTGAACTTGACGGGTCCGCTAGGCTGTCATTTGGTTTAGAAATTCCAGGGTGTCACCCAGAGCCCCCCAGTAACTTAATCAGAAGAAGGATAAACACCCCTGCCCCACCCCACCAGCATCAATCAAGGCGGAAAGGAACAAAATGGATTTGCGTAATTGAAATTGTAACTGGAATGTTTAAGCTCTGAGACCTTTGAAAGGCCACAGCGCATGCAGGGGTGTGGGGAGAGAAAGCAGGCTGCAGGCGCCAGGCCAGACGGGAGTGCGGAGGGGGAGGCTTCCGGAGGGGATGAATAGGCCTAGGCCGCCCATTCCTAAACCCCGCCCTCCCGGGACAAGACGCACCATTAACTTTCTTTTAATGTTTTGTCCGTATCGGTACACATTTCATGGCTCAGTTCACTCAGACAGAAACGCAGAGGGGAAATGGGAAACTCCTTCCTTTCAAAACCACACCCAGGAAGGGAGTGAAACAGAGCGAGCTGTTTGAAATGGGGGCTGTTACACAGACTGATCTGGTTCAGGCAGAGGTTTTTCTGTCCCTTTTCTAAGGACGGTTCCTTTCTTCCTGGGGCCCTTCGTCTACTTAACAAGCACACAGACACTAGCTACATGCCTTGCGAATATTCACTCGTGTCATCTTCATCAGAATCCCATGCTGTATGTAACGTCAGCATCCCCACCAGAGCGAAGGGAGGCACGCAGCAGCACTTCTGTCACATGACCGGGAGTTCGGCCGAGACCTTGGTGCCGGCTGCTAGAGAACCGGATGCTAACACGTCTGAGGGCTTAGGACAACTGACGGAGGGGCAGACAGGGGCCAGGCTGCACCTCCAGCCAAGGCAGCGGGTAAGGTAGCAGCTATCTGAGATCTAGGAAGGAAGTCCGGGATGGCCGAGCCTGGGGAGACAGTGGGAACAGGGAGCAGGGCCGCCTGCTTGCCATCACACCAGACACTGTGCAGAAGAACAGCGGGAAATGGGCGACTGAACTGCAGGTTTCACACGCAAAGGGGTGTCTGCAAGTTCACAAGGAAGATGACCTTCTCCGCCCGCCACGGCCACGGCTCAGGAGAGCACGCTGAGCACAGCTGACGGGGCGGCCGGTGGTAGGATGACTCGCAGCGTACACGGTAAAGGCTGTGATACGTTTTTAAATGGATAACATGAGGACTTGGAGTTCTGACCACCCTGGGTAGTCGGGTAAAAGCAAGGAGAACTGAGGGAACAGCATGGACAGCCTGAGCCCTGGGGCAGCTCTGACAGCGGGTCCAGTTCACAATGACACCCACCACCATCAACCCCCACACCACAGAACAAGGACAGGAATGAGGACACGAGCACGCGGTTATGCTTTGCCCCACGCCTTTAGTCCGTGAGGATCAACCACCTCTAGACGAATGTCTTTGTTCTGAGGCATGGGTTGCATTTCCCTCTCGTTTCCCCAAAGGGAACCCGCCCCTGGGACCTGGCGGCACCTCACCTTTGAGCTCCGTGTTGCCTTTGAACCACCGGATAGTCGTGGCTGGCTTGCTGGCCATAGCCGTGCAGTTGACTTCGATCTCCTCGCCCTCCACGGCCGTGTCTTTCTGGATGTCGATGACCAGGTTACGTGGTGGGACTGCAAAGCAAACGTGTGTTCGTTTACACACAGAATCTACTCCTGCACGCATCCTTCCATTCATTAGAAACTAGCACCATTGCTCTCAAATCAGAGACAAGTAATGGACATTCCTGACGGGAATTTAAAACAAACTGCCACTGGAAGGGAAACATACAAAGTCACCATCAAATAAAGGGAATTATGCACAATCGCTCAATTCAGAATTTCTGCCCTAAAGTATCTTACAAAACGACCGGTCTCCCACTCCTCAGTTATCAGTGACCAAGTTATAACAATATAGATATTAGTTACAAATCAGTCATTTAAAAATTGACCAGAAGTAGAGATAAAGCGAGGAGTACACACAATTCAAGTTATCATCCTTACCTGGAAGTCTCTGAAAGAAATCTTTCTCCTTAAACTCAACCTTTTGATTTCAATCGTCATATGAAAGAATCTACAGTCAACCAGCAAAGATCAGAAACTTGGAGTCCCTTAAAAGAATCCCTCACCATGAACATCCACAGAAAAGTGCGCCTCGGAACCAGTTCATTCGGTCAAAACCACTCACAGAGACCCAGAATGTAATCACCACCTCAATGGGCGGCACATAAACCCCTGCTATGAAGATGCAGTAACACAGGAAATGCCGTTCATTCGCAGTAACTTTCCAGATTCTAAATGCCCCAGATTTTGGAAATCAAAGGTAGAAAAGACCACTAAGTAGTTGTAAGTAGTTTTATTAATCAGAATTAAAACCACCCTTCTCTAAGTATATTAAACCTACATGCAATAAAATAAAAAAATATTTTGTGGCTAAAATGCTGAATATCATATCAAGAGTACGTAGGATGATGATGATGATGATGAAGAAATCATGTTATTTTTTATGACACTGAGCAACAGTGAAACTGCATATGAGGTGCCAGCTTCTTGAAACAGAAGTCAGTAAGAATACGGAATTCCGTGAATCTAATAGTGTGCCCTGACCACCACGAAGAAGCAGACAGTTCTGAGACATGATTAATAAGTCCCTCAACTCAGAAGAGAAACAAGAAATTAAATATGTATACACTTGCCATCCCATGATCAAGTTGAATAATAAATCTGATACTGCTTCAAAAACTATGGGATTAAAGCACGTATTTGGGATTTCCACCTGCTCTGGTCCAATGTGGAAAAAGGAAGACTTTTATGCTGAGTTAAAGCAGGTGAAAATGCCTGTAGAGAATGATGGAAAAGGAAATGATTTGCTGCATGTTTCTCAGCAAGACAGTGTGGTGGTGATGGGTAACTACCAGATCAAAAGCAGGCCTCCTCTCTTCCCCGTGAAAGAGAAAAATAGCACATTTGCTCAATTGGATGTGTTGCTAAGTGATATGGCCCCAATGAGTAGTTAAACATGAGAAAGAACTACCCTAGCTTACACTTCAGGGGGAAAAAGCAGAGAGAGAGTCTAATATCCAATTTAGAGTTGCACATCTGTTAGCATTTTAGAGACACAGAAAGGCAGTTACACAAGTAAACGGGGCAGCTTCAGCTCGCCATTTCCTAAACGTAACTTATCTTTGCTGGATGACAATCAGGTAGCTTATTGGTTCTCATCTCATGTACCGAGAGAGCTGGTAGGCAACAGAGAGAATAGATGTCTAGCGCCAACAGAGACTACTGAATTCTGAGTGCAGTACAATAGGGATCTTGAAGAAAATGCTGTTTAAGCAAATGTGAGATTGTCCAAGCCTAAAGATAGTAAGACCTTGGTGAACCAAAAGGAACAGAATAAGAAATGATAAAAGGCAAACAACCAAGGAGTAAACAAACTAGGAATGTCCTCCCCACAAATGTAGAAATGAGTCAATCACTGTGACTGAGGGGACCCACTCAGTGTGAGGAAACCCAGGTCCAGTGCGGGGTAGGCACGGAAGGTGGGCCCCTGAGGACACGACGGGCAAGCGGCTAAGGCTGGTGCCATGCAGAAGCTCGCGCTCCTGGAAAGAGTAAGCCCGGAGCGGGTCAGAGCCTGGTGCCACGCAGCTCCGGGAACACGCCGGAAGGGCGCTCTTGGTGATGGGACAGATCCAGTTTAACACTGTCAGTCTCAACGGCGTTTAGTGTCAACACCTTCTCTGTCACATCTCTTTTTCTGTGATGCTGGGTATTCTTCCTTCCTTCTCTCCTTTTCTCATGCCGAGCCTTCAGATACTTCTGCTTTCCTCACCACCTGCACCAGCTGTTCATCTCCATTGGTATTTCTTATGCTCTCCCTAAGACTGAGATGGTCGGGATGCGGATGGCTTGCTCTTTCCACATTATTATATTGTCTGCTGGCTCCGAGCAGGGATGAGGAAGGGGTGGATACAAATGAGGCCAGAGGAGAACTACCAATGTCTCCGAGACCTTGCTTGGGGCCCACAGAGTGACTGGCAGCAAACAGGTCCCTATCTGGATCACCTACTGTTAGTACTTTCCTGTTAACGCTTCCTTTTTTTTGCAACAGGTATACAGTTGACCCTTGAATATCACAAGTTTGAACTGTGTGGGTCCACTTATCACAGATTTTTCAATAAATACTGTAAATATATTTTATCTTCCTTATGCTTTTCTTAATATTTTCTTTTCTTTAGCTTACCGCATTTTAAGAATACAGTATATAATACATATAACATACAAAATATGTGTTAATGGACTGGTTGTGTTATCAGTCAACATAGGCGACTAGCAGTTAAGTTTTGACTGAAAGTTCTTTGTGGATTTTCACTGTGCCGGGGGGTGGGGGGAGTTGGTGGTGGAGGGGGTCGTGACCCCAGAGGGTCAACTGTGCTCTAAAGTTCCCTAACCTTTCAGGGAGATTCCCATAACGATGCTAATCCCAGGAATACCTTCCTGAAGAGCTGAAGTCATCTTTAAATTGATGGCTGAGGTAAACTTGTGGGAAACTTCCAAAGTGTTGGAAACTGTGACCAATGTAGAAAAATAAAGGACTTGTTCCTTGTGGACAAGAGCAGCCTGAGACGCAGTTAAGTGATTATTTCCAATTCCACAGTTTTCCCAAGACCATGGCCAGTGTCTCTGATCTTTACTAAGATTAGAAGAAACAGTCAAGTGTAGGAGTTGTCTGGTTTACAAACATAAAGTGAAATTTGATCATGGGAGTCCCAATGGCTTATATTGATGTCAGTGATAAACGTGACTTCTTTCAGATTTTTTTAATCCTCACTCGAGGATATGCTTATTGATTCTAGAGAGATAGGAAGGGAGAGGGAGAGGGAGAAAGAAAGGGAGAGCGAGAGCGATATATATATATATATATATATATATATAGAGAGAGAGAGAGAGAGAGAGAGAGAGAGAGAGAGAGAGCGAGCGCCTTATGTACCTGTCCTGACTTGGAATCGAACCCCTAACCTTTCAATGTATAAGACGACACTCCAATCAAGCCACTCTGGCCAGGGCTGTTTTATTTTATTTTTTTAAGAGCGAGAAAGCTTTGGGAAATAGAAATGAAGTGATTTAGGTATATCTTTCCAAAAAAGGGGGTTGAACAAGAGAATCTTAAAGTTTATTTTGGTCTATTAAGTCTACCCTATTTTCCCTTTGACTTCATAATGCCTACTCTAATATAAAATAGGTTAGCAAAGTATAAATATCCATGTATAAAAAAATGAATGAAAACTACTACTAACCAGCGAGTACACTTACACGTGGTCCCACTAAACAGTCGCATTTAGTAAAAACTGCCTGCGGCCATTAATGAAAATAACCAAAACTATATCTGAGGATGTGCGTGTGGATGAAAACCTGAATGAAAGTCACATAGAAGGAAATACTAGAAAATAGCAAAGAAATGGTACAGTTTTTCTTAGCCAACCTCAAATCTATCCGAGCGCCAATTATAAATCTTTCAGGGAGGTATAAAACCTTTACACCTAAAGCATTAAAAAAAATCAGCAATTTCAGGATGCCACCTTAATTACAGGAGAGGAGTCTTAAAACTGATCAGCACGTGAAATCTCACTCTAAGACCCTTTAAAATAATTAGTTCCTCCTGTTCCTGGAATCTTAAGAGTGAACACTAATCTTGGAAGGACAGGGGTATAATAATACTGGCTACTATTATCAGTAACTGTATTCATCTTAAAGCATCTCCTCCAATGAACAGCAGTACGTACAAGAGTCCTACACTGTGAATTGGAGAAATGCATGCAAAATGTGATAGGAGTTTCCATTTTTACATGGGTAAGAGCATAAACATGATAGTAACTAACAAATACCCATCTCTATGTCTTCTAATGATGCTGAATGCTTTGCTGATGCTTCAAACGACTAACAGATGCACTAAAATGAACACCTTCAACCCATGGAGGCAGGGAATCTGTGTTCGTCCCCACAGTCCTCTCCTCCAGAGGACTGTGGACGGAAATGAAGATGCTAACGTGTCCTTCTTCTGTCACTATGTATCTATAAAGTCCACACCGTAGAAGAAAGGTTTGAATATTTGAGTATCAGTGGAATTTGCCAGATTTTGGAAAAAGAAAGACTCAAACACTGATGACAACAATTTTACCTCATCAAGAAATCCTATAGTAAATTTAACAGAATATTAAATGAACGCATAATATCTGAGCAAGAGTATCTACTAGCATTACTTTCAAGTATATTTAAGTTAATGCTTCTATACAATCGGTAGGAACCTATTACTTCTAGAATAATCAGGCCTCCAAAAGCATTACAGGTAGAGCTCCTCTCAGAGCCTAGTGCTGGCATGCTGACCCCCCCAAGCACTGAGTATGCGCAGTCAGACCCCTTATCCAGGGGGCCTGAGAAAGCACTGGGAGTGCACAGTCAGACCCCTTATCCAGGGGGCCTGAGAAAGCACTGGGTGTGCGCAGTCAGACCCCTTATCCAGGGGGTCTGAGCAGGCACTGGGTGTGCGCAGTCAGACCTCCTGTCCGGGGGCCTGAGGACAAATGTACCAGACGCTGGAAACTATTGGAAGTAACCTCAGCTAGAAGACACAAGGTTCTGAGAAAACACGAGGTCTGGTTCAGGCTTGACTCTTGGTTCTCACTTTCAGGACTTTATTGGCAGTAACCTCGGCTAGAAGACACAAGGTTCTGAGAAAACACGAGGTCTGGTTCAGGCTTGACTCTTGCTTCTCACTCTGCTTGTCACCGGGCAGATGACTGAGCTCTACTATTACTATTTCTTTCTTTGAAATAAAGATATCCATACTTAAAGGTATATGTAACAAAACATTCTGAAAATTCAGAATCCACAACTATATTCAATTTTTTTTTGCTGTCACTCTTGTTGAAAAGCCATAAACTATGGTGGGGAAGTAGGTGAATGGTGAGGTTGAGGTCCAGCCCACTAATGACTTGCTCCAATCAGCAAACGGTGTTCGCAAATGCTTCTGTACAAGCAGATGCACAGAAAAGGTCCAATGCATGCTCATGATTTTGGCACATTTCCAAAATACTGGAACTGTCGTCGTCCCAGCAAAACCTTCCACGCTCCCTACTGCTGCAGGTCTGCGAGGGTCAAAGCCACAATCAGACAAACAGGAGTACCTGCCAGCTGCCGTCATTAACACAGACCACATTCCAAACGGCATGGACAGACCCGGAACATGGCTTTCTGAAGTCAGTATTCCCCTTATCAAGAACATGTATGTAAGTGTTAGGGACATGTTCTACTTTAATGAATAAAAAATATTTTCCCTCTACAGCTGTGTTTAAATAAAGTAACGAGGCAGTAGCCCAATATGTACATCCATAAATACATATATGGTCACACACACCAAGCAAAACCGCCTTCATATTTATCTTTGCTCTTTAATCTTCCTATCATTACACCGAGAGCTGCAACCTGCCGCCTCAAATAGACTTTGATGCATCACCTCCCCGAAGGTACAAATCAGAGATCTTGCCTCGCGCTGTAGTGTGTGTCCTTGAAAACTTGGTTTCAAAATCCGATCAGCCGGTGGTGTGCACTGGAGTGTACGTCTGTCTAAAATGAGACCAACTTAGACCTCCTCCAACACAGGGGATCTGCGGGCTACCTCAAACACACACACGGGAACCTGGCCACTGGGGTTTGCCAAAAGCCACAATCCGGTGACCACAAGTGGAGACGCAGACTCTCCAGAGGTGCCCCAGCGGCCCGTCAGCAGCCTGGCTTTTTCTCAGCTTTCTCGCCCTAGGAGTTCCTAATTCTTTTATGTCCAATGGTGGCAATTCTGTGGCAAAGTATGAGTTCATGAGATATGATCGCTACAGCATGATCTAGAGCAGTGGTTCTCAACCTTCCTAATGCTGCGACCTTTTAATACAGTTCCTCATGTTGTGGTGACCCCCAACCATAAAATTATTTTCGTTGCTACTTCATAACTGTAATTTTGCTACTGTTATGAATCGTAATGTAAATATCTGATATGCAGGATGTATTTTCATTGTTATAAATTGAACATAATTAAAGCATAGTGATTAATGACAAAAACAATATGTAAATATTTATGTGTGTTATCAATGGTCTTAGGCGACCCCTGTGAAAGGGTCGTTCAACTCCCAAAGGGGTCGAGACCCACAGGTTGAGAACCGCTGATCTAGAGTATAAGCAATAAACAAGGCAATTAAGGAAAAGGAGGACAATATTAAAGGAGGTGTAACTCAGAAGGACAAACCATTAGGCGGATTTCATAGCAGAGCCCTGCCCGGCCCAGCTGTGCGGCCGTCTCCCCCTCCTGCACAGAAGGAAACAATCCTATACAATCGGCAGGAATCTATTACTTCTAGAATAATCAGGCCTCCTGTAGCGCAATGGCATGGCCATGGTGGGGGATTCATCTGAGGTTCCAAATCCTCCTGAGTTCTGCTGCTGGAGCCTGAGGTCTGCAACCCCAGAGCAGGTGGGATCTGCATAGACTGGTTGCGTTCCTCAGAGTGTTTGGCAAAACAGGCTACTTTACAAATTCCGCCAGATGGGCGGCGGGCCTGCCTAAGACAAGAACAGCGCCCTTCCCCACGACGCCGAGCCTCTCACCCAGCACTGTGATTGTGGTGTAGCTCTCCTGCGGGGGGTCGGTGTAGAGCTGGCAGAAGTATCTTCCTTCATCGGAAATGGAGACATTTGTCAGCGACACTTTGAGTTCACTGCTGGAAAAATTCAGCAGCTGAAACCTGCTGTCCTTCAAAGCTGTGAACAAAGCACAGGGTTTGTGACTGAGACAGGGACAGTCTGCTTCCCTAGCCCGGCGGAGGGAGACGCAGGGGCCTGGAAAGGCAGCGGCAGAGTGGAAACTCCGTGTCTCCCGCACCCGGAGGGGAGGCACCCTTTGTACTTCCCGAGTTACTGTCTGGGCTTCTGTACTAACCCCATGTGGACAAATAACCTGTCCAAAGGAGACTGGTGCACGTGGGTGCACGTGTAAGTGTGTATACCTACATGCACACACACTCACACACACACACCCCACGCCCTCCGCCTCAGGGTGTCAGAATTCAGCCCTTACTGAAATGGTTTTGGATGCTCTGTCAGACATGGGTAAGATGAAAAGAGGAAGAAGGTGGGCCAGGAGTCCCCTTGGGCACTGGAAGTTCAGGGAGCAGGACTTATAAAAATCATTAAAAAACTATAAAAAAATAATCCAATTTAATTTGGATGTATCTATGTATTTGGTATCCTATATAATAAAACCCTAATATGCAAATTGACCGAACAGCAGAATGACCGGCAGAACAACTGGTCGCTATCATGCACACTGACCACCAGGGGGCAATGCAGGAGCTGCCCCCAGGTGGTCAGTGCACTAACACAGGGGGAGCGCCACTCAGCCAGAAGCCGGGCTCACGGCTGGTGAGCGCAGTGGCGGTGGCAGGAGCCTCTCCCACCTCTGCTGCAGGTGGGAGGTAAGGAGTGAGGGGTCCTGGAGTGCGAGAGGGATCAGGCTGGGCTGAGGGACCCACCCCCCTGCAAGTGCATGAATTTCGTGTACCGGGCCTCTAGTTATTGATATGATTTGAGGTGGAACTTCTCAGGGATAGAAGGTGACCAGGGGCCCCCGGAGGCCTTGACCTCGCCCTGCAGTTTCCTAAGCACAGTAGGAGCCAATTGGGCAGAACACAGGAAAGCAATGTATGTGGACTGACTTGTTTATAACAAATATTCATGTTTAAAGTCTTTATATTAATTTTGGCAAAGGCTAGGTTATTACAAAAGGATGAAATATCCTCTCAAATATTCTTTAGATTATTCAACTGTCCACAGGTCTTGAACACTGCGGTGGGGTGGAAACAAGGCAAAGAGGATTCTCCACACCTGTTTGTTGGACACCTTGACTCTCAAACCAAGTTTCAGAGGACCTTCTCCGGTTCTCCACAAGCCCAGCACCCACCTGCACCCTGGCTGTGATATGCAGGTAAGTGTCCAGTATTCACTTCTGTGACATCCATTTGCAAACGTTTTCGTACATGGACACCTCTACATGCCAGAGGTGCTATGGTGACAGGAGGTTTGGTTTTGTCTTTATAGGTTCAGATTGCCTTGAAAATTTCAATCTTCAAACAGATTACCTTTCAGTATGCCCTACTTTCCTGGCCTTCCCCTGTTTGAGTTGTTTCTATCAGCGAAGTATTGGGACTCAATTGCAATTCACCTTGAATTACTACAACCCATTCCTATTGCAAAGTAAGACCGCCTTGCTTTTAAAAGGGACCATTCAAGGTTTCTATTAAGTAGAAAGATTATGATTGCACATCTCGTCTCCCTTCTGAAGAATGGACTAAACTTTAAGCATCTAACATTGAGCTAAGCAGAGGAGTCTTGGCAGTCTCTTCATCAAGACAACATGTAGGAAGATCAGTTGCCGTGTAATACTGTAGCGACGGACACTTACGCCTGAAGTCCCTGAAGTAGATGGTCTGCCTGTTGGGATTCAGGAGCTGAATCACGGAGTCGTCACTCTTATTGACTTGGCAGCTGATGGTTGCAACTTCTCCCTCGATAACTGTCACGTCTTTCGTAAATAAATTCTGTCCATCACCTTTAAAAAAAGAGATAAAAGATCAGAAAGAATTTTCTATCAGTTAAAATTTGGTTAATGGGATCAATTAAAATGAGAAGCAGGAAGCGCATTAGGAATTGGAAACCAGAGCAGCACTGGGTAAGGCTCCCCTCCTCTCTGCAGGGGCCACAGCATGAGTCTAATAGTCCAAGTAGATCGAGGGACGCAATACCACAGCCTGGAATCACCTGCTCTCAGGGTGAGGCGCTCGCGGTCCAGCCCCAGGACCTGTGCAACGGAGCCCTGTGTGAGTGGTAAGGTCCGAGTGCCGGCTTCTATGAGGAGCTGAGCTGTCACAGCGGGGTGGGTGGTGTGTGTACTCGGCCTCAGCTCACAGGCCCTCGAGCTGAGCTATTTGGCCACCTCACAGAAAACTCAAGGGATTACCTACTAGAAGCAGGTAGGATGGACGGACCACTGAACAATCTTGTCTTGTTAGTGGATGTCAGCATTCCCAGTGCACAGTGGTCCCCCCTTATCCACAGGGGTATGTTCCAAGTCCCCCAGTGGATGTCTGAAACCACAGATACTACTGAACCCTGTATGTACTATGTTCTTTTCTATACATACATCCCTATGATGAAGTTTAATTTATAAACTGGTCACAGTAAAAGATGAACAATGGTAATACAATGGAACAACTATTAACACTATACAATTGGCTCTTGAACCACCCATAGGGTCAAAAATCCACATATAACATTGGACTCCCCAAACTTAACCACTTGTAGCCTACTGTTGACCAGAACAATCACATGAACATTCTAGTACCATGTATTGTGTACCAGTACGTTCTATGTATTTATATATGTAAGCGTATATTATAGACTTGTAATGTTCTTACTCTGAAGTAAGCTAAAGAAGAGAAAATGCTATTCAGAAAATTATAAGAATGAGAAAACACATTTACACTACTATATGTATTTCTTAAAAGCAAACCCATGGATAAGTGGGCCCACACAGTTCAAACCTGTGTTGTTCAAGGGTCAACAGCACTTTAATAAAAGTTAAATGTGGTCTCTCTCTCTCTCTCTCTCTCTCTCTCTCTCTCTCTCTCTCTCTTTCTCTCTCATAATGGCCTGGTGTCACTCGTTTTGGGGACTCCTTGCTGGTTGGCTCAATGCTTTCTGCCACAACACATGCCGTCAATCAGAACATGTCTTCCATCCAAGTCTTCCAGCCACAAATTTAATGCCTTTTCCATCTTAACTAATAAGCACTTAACGTGCACCGTGGCCATAACTTTTGCAGTTGGAGGTGCAATAGCAAAACTAGCACAAATTTCCTTTTCTTTCTTCACAATCTCAGGGATAGAAATTTTGTTCTTACTCTAGATCTTAGCAGCCTCAGCACAGACTGCTTTTCTTTCCTTATGAAGTGGAGAACTTCCACCTGGTCACTGACAGGAGGCCTTTAGGGCTCTCGTTGGCACACTGAATTGCCAGCATCCTCACTTTGGCGCCTTGGGGCCATTAGGAAAACTGCAGTGACTTGAACACAAGCACTGGTGCTGATACTGCAACATCAATGTGACAACTGAGGCGGCTGCTAAGTGGCTGACGGGCAGGGAGCATCGCAGCGTGGAGCTGCTGGGCAAAGGGAGGACGCACGTCCCGGGTGGGGCAGAGCGGGGCAATACGCTATTTCATCAAGCTTAACAGAACTGCTCATAATTTACACCGTATGAATTGTTTATTTCTGGAATTTTCCACTTAATATTTTCTGACTACGGTTGACTGTTACTGAAACCATGGAAAGTAAAACCATGGACAAGGGGGTCTACTGTATAGGCAGTTCGATTATGTACTGTGTGGGAATGAGGACCGACCAACTCTAATTCTTTGGAATCTCCATAAAATCCTGAGAAGGGCAGTGGTTCTCAACCTTCCTAATGCCGCGACCCGTTAACACAGTTCCTCATGTTGTGGTGACCCCCAACCATAAAATTATTTTCATTGCTACTTCATAACTGTAATTTTGCTACTGTTATGAATCGTAATGTAAATATCTGATATGCTATATGTGTTTTTCCGATGGTCTTAGGCGACCCCTGTGAAAGGGTCGTTCGACCCCCAGAGGGGTCGCGACCCACAGGTTGAGAACCGCTGGATTACAGTTCAGTTTCTTAAAGTTCTGTTTTCAGAAACACACACCCTCTTGACCTATCTGAAGTCCCAGGCAGTACTGAACTGTGCCCTTTGAAAAACCCCTTTGAGAACACGCCGGAAAGGCAGGGCTTCAGGCCCACTGGCAAAAGGCAGACCTGCAAATCTGCTTTGGTTTGGTGCTTCTAACCTTAGTATCGTAGTTAGGGCCCCTCACCGATGTCCTAAACGCTCCACAGCACAGGTCGGAGGAGAGAAGAGTGCAGTTGAAAAGCAAAAGGTGAAGCCATTGTCCAGTGTCCAATCCC